TTGTCTGTTTAATTTGTTGTTTTATCTGTTTGGCTATTTCATGATGAGTTCTGATGTTATACCAGCATGGACAGAAATCCTATGTATGAAAGGCTATGAGGTGAAACGTGGAAGCAATAAAGGGGAAAAAGGAGGAGTGGTGGAGTGTTGGAGAAGCAGTGGAGTAGAGATCACAGCTGCTCAGATGTTCCCTTAGTTTATCATACGCTTTAGCAAAGTCAGATGGAGGACGTCTCTGTGGAAATACACAGATGTACACACATTGTATTCCCTGGAGTAATGTGCGTGCCTGAGCTTATCTGCATGTGTGTGTGAATTTTTGTATTCCTGCAGCTGAAATTTAGTGTGCTCATGCATGGGCGTGAAAGTGTGCTAGTGTGATACATTTGTGAATGCTGCCATGCAAGTGTGATACCACCTCTGTCTGAGTGAGTGTGTGCTGTATACCTGTGGGGACTAATATGACTTTTGGAAAGGGGAGTGGAGTCTTCTTTTTGACAGTTGGCTAATGTTAGTGTTTGGTTAGGTGAAGCTAAAGAACTATAGAGTGCACAACTTCAATGAGTTTGCACATGTTTATATGAAAACCATAAACTGTATATTTGATATGCGACTATCACACACCTTTGTTCACATCAGCTTTATTTTATATTATATTATAAAGGAAGAGGCAAAGAGGCACTAGTTACTACAAACAGTGTAGGCTATCAAAGTCCCTCTCACACATGTGCACACAAATCAGTGTAGTGTGGGAGCCAGTCCTCATCCTCAGGGTGTCAAATACTACAGTTTTGTAAAACCTGCTGGTGTCTCAGAGATTCACACAAGGTTGGTACTTGTCATATATATTGAATGCACCCTTTAGCTACAATCTTTCAAAATGCAGGGTCGATTTTGAACGGGCATACCTTAAACCAAACCATGTTCCCAAACCTAACCAAGTAAGATTTGGTATCTAAACTTGACCAGACAGCAAAGGAAAACAGAGTGCAAAACGCTAAATGGGTCACTTAGTAGCTTGGTAGCCTGGTCGTGACTTTAGCCGCTGTTACACATTCTGCCCTCTGTGTCCTTATGAGGGCTTCTCTACTTTTTCAAACTTCCAGCTCCCGGTGTCCATTATTACCAGCCCCACTGACAAAACTGAAGGTTTTTTTTTTAAACCGCCTGGGAATGACAAAATGTTGAGTGTATGTTAAGTATTTGGCCTTTGTCTAAAATGCACTCACTTGTCATGACAAACTCAAAGACACACACACGCGCACACATGCATGCACACACACACACACACACACACACACACACATTATTGGTCTGGAAACAATCTTCTCCACCCCTGTTGGTTACCCAAACATGTTGTCACCATGGCAACCAAACAGCGTGCCGTATAGCCAGGATGATTGGATAGGAGATGAAGGTGCTGATGATAAATCCACTGCATTATTAATCAATTATATCTGCGCTGATGCACTGTCTGGATATGCTTGTTTGTCATGAGTATGTAAAGACATACATTGTGTGTGTGTGTGTGTGTGTGTGTGTGTGTGTGTGTGTGTGTGTGTGCGTGAGTGTGTGTTTATTTTTCCAGTAAGCTGGTCATCTGTTTGCCAGTTTCAACAGAAAAGTCGTCATTCTCAAAGTTTGCAGAAGAAAAGCCTGAATCCAAAACCTTTCATTTCAGTCTTAAGTATATATTCATATATTCATATATAAATTCACGCGAGCTGTCACTAATAGAATGTTTTACAAAGGCACTGACAGATGAGGGTAATAATACAAAACATTTGGCCTGTGCCTGATGCTTTTGTTTTTTAGGGGAAAATGGAGCCCAGATCCCTATTCACATGAGACCGCTGTTGTTCTGGGTCCCTCTGTGATTTGTGTTAATTTCAGAGTTCTGTGCTCTCAATCCTGTGCAAATCTGCCAATATTAAAAAAAGGAAAAAAAACATGCTTAAAATATGGGTCACACAAAATTGTTAATTGCTTTCAAAAGGAATTAAAATTACAAAAACTGTTATTGGCTCTCAAAGTTGGTTACTCTTGAGGAAAACCTGACAATAGTGTCAGTCCAGGTGGTGTAATTGTAAATTCATAGGAAGTAGAAACAGAATTTATTCACAAGGGGAAAGTAAACATAACCTGTCTCCACTCTATCATTTGGGAGTGGCAGTGTCTTGTTCAATGGTTCCACCTTGAGGCAGCTGTTCCAGCTGTTGTGCGAATGTTAGCTGGCAGCCTGTGGATGAGATCTTCTCCATCCCAGAGGGTGGAGACTGCTCTCCATCTGCAGTTATAGGACAGTGATAAATGGACTAATCCCTCTAGTGTAATAAGTTAACCTCTGACATTTGCATGTGTGTGTGTTGGTGTTCTCAATAGTTTAATGAAATGACTTTCACTGCGTTTGTATATGTAATACAATGATTAACCCCTGGCCTTCCTGTGTATAATTAAATTATTATCAGAGCTGCTGTGTGTATTCAGTCACAAAAGAGGTGTGCTGTGGATGCTAAGGATGTCAATCCTAAAAACTATAAGCTAGATAAGTGTGGGACATTTGTAATTACCAGGTCATTATCATTTTATCCTGCTATATATTTCTGATCAACTAAATTTAAGAAGTAAATATGAACCTGTTTAATTTAGTCTTTGGGTCCTTTTTATGTGGAGTTTGCATCGTTTCCCTGTGTTTTGTGTGGGATCTCTCTGGCTACTCCAGGCTACCTAACTCCAGCAGCATTCATGTTAGGTTAACTGGAGAGTCTAAACTGGTGTTAGGTGTGAATGTGCAAGTATCAATGGTTGTCAGTCTCTGTGTGTCAACCATGCAATAGATGGCGACCAGTATGTACCCTGTCTCATGTCCAGTAACACCTGGGATGGGCTTCAGCTCCTCTATCACCCTGAATTGGATAAGTAGAATGAAATGGATGGATAATGATATAATCATATAATAATCATTATGCAAAATGAATACTTTCACTTACACCTCAATCACAAGTCTTTATTACAAAGTAACAAATTCCTCCGCTAACTTACACTTAATTACTGTGTTATTACTGTGTAATCTAACTGCATAAATTCTCCAGCGTTACCTGAATTCAATTTCTTGCCTTTCCAAGTACAATGACATGACTCTTCAGTACAGCAAGAACACATACTGTATTGTACTGTAGAAATACAGTGTAGTACTGCTATTATTATTTTTTTCTCTCAAAGGCATCATTATTTACTTTAGTCTACTGTAAATAGAATAACAGTGCAATGCAAAATTTTATAAAATACTAATTCTGTTGTATGGTATTACTCCTTAAGCCCTTTTCTGAATATTTCTTGTTCTGATGTTAGAGACTGACACATGTTTCTATTTGAAAGTTGTTATATGCACTGTCATACACCTTTTACTTTTCACATGGCTGCTCAGTGGTGAGAGAGGGAGGGATTCAAATTCTGCTAACACGGTGTTTGCTGACGATTCCACATTGGTTGCAGGTCTGCGATGAGAGATAACGCTTATATAAGCTCGTGTGTTCATGTTCCCATTTCTCATGCTATAGGGCAGATTTTGAGCTGTCTTTGTTATTGCCTGTAGTGGATTTGGATTAGAATATGGGTTTTGTTCCAGACTGGAAACACAAGATAAACACACTCATAAGCATATGTCCAGAGGCACTCAGTCACACAGCACACAAATGCTACATTCACCGCACCCCACTCTGTAGCACTGTGACCTGGAATATTAGCTGCCATGCCAAATGCGATCAAGGCCAACTCCCACAATAAATACACAGATACACACTCTCTCTCCAGAATTGCTGGTATACTTTATTGGTGGAAATCTAATTTTCAAAGAAAGAAATCCCTGCCTTGTCTTTGTTCTTTGACAAAACACTGTTAAAATTTGCCGGAAGAATGGTCAATGTGTTGTTTGTAATTTAGATGGAGACCAACAGTGGAATAAAACTCTCAGTGCTGGTTTTTGTGTTAAATCTCAGCCAGTTGCAGAACTTTGAGACTTTGAGAGAGAAAGATGGTTATTTTGCTCGTGCTATTTTAGTCGTGGCGTGTCAGCATGTTTGTTGTTCGCACTGTACTAAATTCTAGCCAGTTTCTCTTGTGTTAAATTGCAAGGCACAGCTAATCTTGACCTCATCTTGTTGAAAGCATTAATTGAAGGTGATGAATAATGCTGCAGAGATCTTTCTGTTCTAGTGCCTTAGATATGTCTAATTAAAAAATGTGCTGAATTTCTACACTTTAAATAGAGCTAGAACCACAAATGCTTGTTTGCTATAGCATATGCATGTAGCATTCTTAATTTTATGTAGGCTGGATATCCCAGCCTTTAACATCAGATACAACACATTTTCATGGAAATTGAATTGTTAAGTTTGCTTAAGTTTCCCACAGTCATCAAGGTTTAAAGGGAATACTTGTGGAAATAAAAAGTGCAATGTCAACATTGCATCCCAAAAGTTGACTGATTGCATTTGACAAATTCATCATCATGTCTCACGACTGCTCACTCACCAAACTGACTAGCAGAGTTGATAAACTCTCCATAGTTCATTTAGCCGGTAACATTCAAGATTGTTTTTCTCTATACTGAAGATGCCTGATATCATGGTGGATTGAAAGATTTAACTGAGCTTTGATCATGCTGGTAGAGTAAAGAGTATATCAGTTTGATCATTCCAGACGGATGTGAGCTGCTCCAACAACATAATAATAAAGATTAGTATGACATCCAGAGGAAATATGCAAACTTTCCATAGTTTTAAAAGCAAAAGAACAGCCTTCAGATACGTCCATGTGAAAATATTATGTAACCTGATAACTGGACGTGTATCTGTGGGAAAGTCGAGTACTGCTCTTTTCTGTTTCCTCTTGGTTTTCCAGTTTCCAGCCTGTCCTTTCCTCACTTTTCTGCCTTCTCTTCTTCTCTCCTCCTTTTTTCCCCTTCTCCCCCCCCCCCCCTCCCCCCTCCTTCTCTTCAGCAAAACCATCAAGGTGAAAATAATTGACGACGAGGAGTATGAGAAGAACAAAACATTCTACATAGAGATTGGGGAGCCTCGCCTGGTGGAGAGCAATGACACCAAAGGTCAGGAAGAGGGTGAGCCTCGTGATCCTGCGAATAGTGAAGCCTTGACCCCAGAGTGTCCGTCGCACTGCAGAGGCCGCATGTTCTTAACACATGGAGGCACACAGGAGGGGATTTATTGTTCTCCTGCTGTTGTGTCCTAAATATGACAGCGAACATGCGGCAGACTGTACGTCATCTCATCAACCACATCCACTACACCTTTGTCTGTGTGCATGTCTGTGTGTGCCTTTTGTGTATATACCTCGCCATGATGTTTGTTTATCATGCATGCATTTACCACCTCCCTCTATGTATGTGTACGTGTGTTGTCCCATACAGGAAGACCATAACCGTTAGGATCTTAGACCGGGAGGAGTACAATAAGCTATCCTCCTTCTACATTCTGCTTGAACCCCCCCAGTGGAGACGAAACAGGAAGGAACAGACAGGTTTGACGACTAATGAGCACTGAGAATGCACTTTCATGAATCCTGATTCAACAGACCATCACCAGAAATAAGTTCCTCATTCATTCTTATAACGCAGTTCTCCTTTGTTACTGTAGTTGCTGAGTGGGCTGTTAATGTTAACTGTTATCTCTGCGCAAAGAATAACTATAGTATTTCCGTGCAATATACTCAATCTGAGCAAGTTTTCAAATGTTCAGAACGTATAATTGACAAAAATTAAAGCTCATTTTTACGCTGTTCTATTACAGTGCTATGTATTGGGAAATGATGGAGTTACTTCCAACTAGAAAAATATAAAGCAGTTGTGGGTGGTGGTGAAAAAGCTCCAGAAACACTAAGTAAAAAATATGATTTCTGGAGGGAGCATTTGGCTGTCTCTGTTCAGTTTATTTGGCAGTGTTCTTGAAATGTTGGAATTTATTTTATGATTTCTAAATTTGCTTTTTCCAACCACCAACCCAAAGCCTAAATATTTAAAATGTACTTTTAAATATGACGAAGAAAAGCGGTAAATTTTAGCATCTGAAACGTTTGCGCCACAGGAAACGGTTGTTTGATAATTAAAGTAGCTGTTTAAATTTTGACATAACTTATAATTAAGGTGACTAATCGCTGCAGGGCATGGTCTAATATATCTCATATATAAAGAACATACATTAATTAAAAAATAATATATTTTGCATATAAACAAAATCTCAAACAATATCCAGGGAAAATATAGATTTTATCATCAGGTTATCAGTGCACGAGAGAAGCCTTGTTCTTGTCACTGTAAGCAATACAACATGATTTTCCTCAGCTTTGTAACTGGATGAGCCTTTGCATCTGTGCACATTGCCAGCATAGCTGATTACACAAATCTCCAAACATGGAAGCAAAGAAAAGAGACTACAGAGTCAGCGAGCCAGCTTTGTTTCAGTCTTTTTTATCATATTTATTTTATGTAAACCCTGATAAGATATTTGAGACAAGAGCACTTTGCAGTTAGAAGGAAGAACTGACACTTTACAGCTGGCAACACTATAAAACATAAAATCAAAGCATCAGTTACACTTATAGCATATTTCTGAAGTGACACAGAGCAGCACCCTTGTGTTTGCTCTTGATTTAGCAGGTCTGTTGATTTGGGATTCAGCCTGAGCATACACAGATCAGTTGTGTTGCTCCCTTCTGGACTTCTCTGTTTTTCCTCCTTTATTTTTTTCATTCTTAGTCTTTTTGCTCCTGAGCAAATTGAGCGGGAATTACACCTGTCCTCTCCTTTCTTCTCCTTTCCTTTTTCTCTTATCTACTTTGTTCCCCCCGTCATTCAGCCAAGAGCTTTCTGAGATATGTTTTCTGTTGGCGTTTGAAAATGTCACTGCTTGATTCAAAATGTTCTCGTACAGCTGGATTATGGATCACTGGGTTAAAAAAAACATATAGAAGCAGTACCTAACAGACTGCTAACTGTGGGGTTAACAATTCCCTAAGTACACATAACTGACACAGGACTTCTCTGATTATAATGGGCATGCTAGTAGATGGAAGAGCAACTATTGGCCCATATCTATGGGAGTCATAATGACTGATAATAGCCATTCACTGTGCTGATAACATATTAATGGGTGGAAAAACCCACAGTGACACAGGGCTGTTCTTCTTTTGCTCATGACATGTTGACATTCCACAGAGCCACTTTTTATGAAGAACTTTGTAGCTTTTCTACATTCTAGAAAATTAAATATTCCACAGACAGAAGCTGTTTCCTAAAGTTTAATTTAGTCCTATTTGAGTCATATCAAGCCTTTACTCTTCCAGGAGGAGGAATGCTTCAATGTTTCACACATCATTGTTAAGCAATCTGGTGCAGTTAAACCAGTGATCAAAATGTTTTGTAATCTAGTAGCTTAGTCAATTGAAATTTTATAAGCTCCCAAATATATTTTCTATAATAATATGTATTTCCTGTTAATAACACTGAAATGTTGATTCTAAGTTGTTCTATGATGTTGATTTAATGATTGAATCAAACAGTATTTCAGTTTCAATGCTTCCACCATGTAGTTAGGCTTTAGATGTGCATGTTAGTGTTTGTCTGCAACTCTGTGTTTGCCCTTAATCACTTGCTGAATCTATCTCCAGTGTGTTTATCCATTATCTCATATGAGATGCTCACCCCCCTTGTTTTTTATTACAAAGTAATTTATTGTAAAGTTGTTGGGGGGGTTTTAAGTGAGAAATGATCCATTTTATATATATTGTTATTTTGACACACACTACAGAGATTGATAAATCACATACTGTTAAGGAGTTTGAGATATATCCTCAGTTTTCTGTTTACATGTTGTCTAAAATGAGTTTTATGACCTTAAATGTACTTTAGCTCTTTTGGGTACACTCATTAAAAGTAGTTCTTTCTCTCTCTGTTTTACACACTCACACAGAGCAGCCATATCAGTGTGCTAATGGCAGCATGTGTTTACCAGGCATCAGCAGTGTTTATAGTGATGAGGGGATCAAAGACAAGGGCTGGATATCACATTATCACAGTCAGGAGATCAACCACACCTCCGGGATACACAGGAACACGCAAACACACACTGTCTGTGTGTTTTATGATCTGATGTGCTGGTTGTCTGTACTAAATGAGCCCTGCACATCTCTTAATGGCATTAACCCCTTTTTCGTGTGTTTGTCCATCCTGTTGTTTATCTGTGCATGTTCTGTATGCATATAGCCACGTACACATATCACTGTATGCTTGCATTATCAACATTATTGTTTTTGTCTTTGTCATAGAACATTTGACCAATTTTCTATCCTCCCGAAGGTATTTCAAGGTTTTGTGTGTTTTATGGAGAAGGCATTGGACTGTGTCCTGCAGGGGATCCAGTAGGGGTACTTAGCCCAGGTATCTGGCCTCTTGTTAGGGCCATTCAGCCACAGTTACCCTTTTTCACCAATGTCAGTCATAATTTTTACGGATATAATTTCTAGGAATTGCCAAGTAGCAGATGGTTTCCACTTGTTCTGGTCTCTGCTTTTTGTAGATGTGGTTCTGATTTTTCATCAGGTGGTTGCCTCCAACTGGCACTGGAGAAGTGGTTTGGAGTCAAGTGTCAAGTGGTGGGAATAAAAACTAGCACCTCCAAGTATGAGCCCATAGTTCTCAGCTATGTTTCTTGTCAGGGCCTAGCTGCTACCCCAAGTGGAGGAATTTAAGTATATCTTGGGATCTTGTTGGAGAATGAGGGGAGTGGTGGGAGATTGACAGACTCCTAGAAGCCTCTTAAGTGAAGTTTTTTGAGCATGCCACAATAGGAGGAAGGCTCAGGGCATACCTCAAAGGGAGAGGTTATATCCCTCGACTCGCTTGGTCTGCAATTGTAATGCCTCTGTGTTCAAGCACCTCCTCAAGCTTGGTGAGTTTGAAGCAGTGGCTGGGGAGAGGGAGGTCTGGGTGTCTCTGCTTAGACTGCTGTTTAGTAATAAACAAATATACTAAATATTTTTATATCTTTTGTCTTCAAAAAACAGTATTTGATGAGATTAGACAGAAAAAAAAAATCTCTAGAAATACGTCTTTAAAATTAGAATTCTTATGTTGCAGGGTTACATAAAATCTATGAAAAACCAAAAGTGGACCTGATTTACTCGCTATGTTTTTGCAGCTATATTCCACTTCTAGGCTTCTTCTTCCTCCTGCTACATTTGGATTGACAGTCTGACCCTCAGGGACAAATTAAGAGCATGGTGCACAACCCTGTGAATGTCAAAAGAAACAAGCATTCAAATGCTTGCACTTCTGAAATCATTTCTTCAGGCATGGAAACTGCAGGCATTTCCGCTGAAGAGTGGTGAGACACAGCTTTCATCAGCAGTGATAATTGACTTTTATCAGTTCTACACAGATGCTGATGTTTGTTCTTTGTCCATCAGAGCCTTTAGTTTTCAGGCCCCTCTTTTATGGAAACATGAATTACAAGAGTCCAACCTAGATGTAATAAATGCATGAACTAGTTTTTCAGCATCACTCGGAGACTGGATATTTCTAATTTTAGAGATATTGCGCAAATGGAAGAAAGCAGTCCTACATATTTGTTTAATATGTGCGTTGAAGGACATATCCTGGTCAAAAATGACTCCAAGCTTCCTCACAGTGTTACTGGAGGCCAAGCTAATGCCATCCAGAGTAAGGTTAGATCTGGTTAGATACCATATTTCTAAGATTTTCTTGGCCAGTACAATAACCTCAGTTTTATCTGAATTAAGAAGCAGAAAATTAGATGCCATCCAGGTTTTTATGTCTTTAAAACATTCCTGCAGTTTAACTAATTGTTGTGTGTTATCTGGCTTAATGGACAGATAAAGTTGTGTGTCATCTGCATAGCAGTGAAAATGTTTGCTATGCCTTCTGTTGATACTGCCTAAGGGAAGCATGTATAATGTAAATAGAATTGGTCCTAGCACTGAACCCTGTGGAACTCCATAATTAACTCTCCATTTATGTGAACAAATTGGAGTTGATTAGATAGATATGATACAAACCACTGCAGCCTAGTACCTGTTATACCTACA